GTGTGTGTGTGTGTGTGTGTGTGTGTGTGTGTGTGTGTGTGTGTGTGTGTGTGATACTGAAGCAATTAGTTCCTGTGATTCTGTGTAAAACCAAAGAAAACCAGGAACTGAGAAACTGTAGAACAGGCCAAAATCAATGTCCAGTTGACTGAATAATCTACCAATCACTAGACCACTGAAGGAAATGACTCCCTCTGATACAATTTAATAGTATGGTTTCCTCCTCTGTTGTGACCCCACATTGGGGTGATATCTGCCAGGGCCCCACATGTGGTTGGGGTCCAGCCTTGATGGGGTTTGCACCCTACATTCCACGGTAGGGGTATGTGGATCAGAAATATTAGGAGGAACAGAGATACTAAAGAAAAAGGAATGGAGACACAGAGTAGAACCAGGAGGGTAATCCAGTGAATACTGAATTTGCTCACGTTATTTTTCATGTTTATATATCCCAATCCAAAAGGAGGGGAAGAAGGCAAAAAAAAAAATCTGCTTTAATGTATCACAAAGAACAAACAGCAATTACCTGTTTCAATACCTGAAACATCAAGCAACTATATCCTGAGTTAAGCATTCCGTTGTTTAGGCAAGACATGCAGCAACCACACCTTAGAACATCCTATAGACAGCCACTCCCTGGGTCAAACCTCCTGTCATATCCACAAAGAAGCAGATGTAGGCTTGAATTCTCTGGCGTTTGGTCAAAGTGGAATAGGCCTACTTCTGTGGCCCTTCACATATTCCTCTGTTTTTAATTTATTTAATAAAGCCTGTGCTTCTGCTACAGGACAGGTGGCTGTGCGTGGTTTAGGCCGTTTCCCACTTTCCAGACTTACCTGTTATCAGTAAATACATTCCATCATGTACATTCTGACTTGGGTTTCCTGGAGGGACAAAAGATCTTAGCCATCATTGACTATCCACCTCTGTTAGTAAAGGGTTAAGGGGGGGTGTGCAGCTAGGTTCTGTGTACCTGAGCCAACGTTCCATCGAGAGAGTTCACAGACAACGAGATAATCATATGCAAGCAGATAATGCTTTGCGGTATACATGCTCCTATGGCCACAATATCTCCTAATAAAGGAGTGAAGAATGACCACGATGGGATGGCCTTTTCAAATTGGTTCAGGATGTCTTTAACAGTTTTTCGCTGAATCAAAATTCAAATTTGTCTTATTAAACATCAAATCTAAGGACTCATTAGCATCATGTCAAATTTTTCTCAGGCAAGCTCTAACCTTTTTCTAACCGGTAACATCTTCATAGTGAACTAAAGTAGCTACAAACATTAACAGGTCCATACCATAATTCTAGTATAGAAATTAACAATAAACACACAATTTGTCAAATCACATTTCTCTGAAATCATTTGAATGCCGAGCGGTGGTGGCCCATGCCTTTAATCCCAGCACTTGGGAGGCAGAGGCAGGCGGATCTCTGTGAGTTCGAAGCCAGCCTGGTCTACAAGAGCTAGTTCCAGGACAGGCTCCAAAGCTACAGAAAAACCCTGTCTCAAAAAAAAAATCATTTGAAACAAAAAAAAGAGGTTTCTGTGATGGGTGAGCTATAAATCTTTTTCCTCTCCTGTAGTCCAATTGCATTGCTGCCTCTCACTTTCAAAGATAAGTTCGAACTGTCCCAGTCTCTGAGTAGCAGCAAAAACTTGTGTGCCATCCCTCTTCTTGTCTGTGGTCACTCTTTGCCTGAACGATAGTGTTCCGCTGTCTTTACAAGTCTTTTTTCCACAGAGGGGAAGTCTCTGGGGCTTTCCATCTCAGCAGTAGACAAATACTATACTTGCTAAACTGAATTCTGTGGCCCAAAATATAGTATGGATAAACTGCCAAACATTCAGTCAGCATTCTTGAGCTGGTTCCAAAGTAAATAGGACTCACTAAGATCTGGAAGTTTGAAGCTGAGAATCACCAACCATCACCGCCATCTTCCTTCCTTTCTCAGACTGCAGCATGATGACATAAAGGGGTCAGGAACACAGGTTCATCAGTCTCACTCCGACTCTTCTGTGGGGGCACCAGCAGCTATGATGTCATCAGGGCTGGCATCCTTCTCCTTCACACACCAGACCAGCCATTCCAGAATCCATTGAGCCTCATTCCCCTCCTGTGAAAAAAATAGACATGCCCTCAACCCCATATTAAAACAGGGTCAGGTCCTTCCCTTAATCCAGTGCAAGGGTCTTTCTGTTTCGCTTTAGCAAAGGTTGCTCTGGTGCCATGATGCTAGCTAGAATCTATCCACGGTCAAGAAATTCAGAGTAAAAGTGTCATGACTTAAGGCATTATGTGGCAACTGAGGATATAATTCCCTCATTTTTATCTTTTGAAGTTGTGTTTTCAAGGAGCCGCGGGCATGCTCCCCAATTCCTTGTCCTTGAGGACTACAAGGAACGCCTATTTCATGATCAATATTTCATTGGGAACTAAATTGTTGAAATGTTTCACTAACATATCTGGACCC